AGCCACCCAGGCGCCCTATATTCGCCTTCTTTTTTTTTTTTTTAAAGATTTTATTTATTTATTTGAGAGAGCGAATGAGAGATAGAGAGCACGAGAGGGAAGAGGGTCAGAGGGAGAAGCAGACTCCCCGCCGAGCAGGGAGCCCGATGTGGGACTCGATCCCGGGACTCCAGGATCATGACCTGAGCTGAAGGCAGTCGCTTAACCAACTGAGCCACCCAGGCGCCCTATATTCGCCTTCTTAATACTGTGTGCTCTTGGGCCAGTCCTTAAACAACCTGATGATGTCTGCCGGAGAGACGGCAATCATGATAATGACTAACCTTTGAGCTTGCTGTGTGCCTAGTGCTGTTCTACAAGGCACTTCATTTTTTTTTTAAGTAAACTTTACCCCCAACATGGGGCTTGAACTCATGACCCCAAGATCAAGAGTCACATGCTCTACCGACTGAGCCAGCCAGGTACCCCCAAGCGCTGCATTTTTTTTTTAAATCAACATAGCAACATTACAGTGGCTATTGTTTATTTATTGCTTGTAGTCCGTGACTCTAAGGGCCATGTGAATGGACTCCTCCAATTCTTGAGACATCAGTTTTTGTCATCCCATTTTACAGGTGGAGAAACTGAGGAATAGAGAAGCTAAGCAGCTTGCGCAGGGTCAAGCAGCTAGTAAGTTGTAGGCCTGAGGTTTGAACCTGAGCAGGCTAGCTCCAGGTCCACATCCCCTAACCACTACACTCTACTGCTTTTCTGTAGGTAATAATGCAAGATGGTTCTGGAACAATTTAGAAACCAGGAGGCAGGTTGACCTTTTTTTTAGGTGAAAAAAATTTATTTTTATTTTTATTTTTGAGAGAGAGAGAGAGAGCAGGGGCAGGGACAGAGGGAGAGAGCATCTTTTATTTTTATTTTTTTATTTTTATTTTTTTAAATTTTTTATTGTTATGTTAATCACCATATATTACATCATTAGTTTTTGATGCAGTGTTCCATGATTCATTGTTTGTTCATAACACCCAGTGCACCATGCAAAACGTGCCCTCCTCAATACCCATCACCAGGCTAACCCATCCCCCCACCCCCCTACCCTCTAGAACCCTCAGTTTGTTTTTCAGAGTCCATCATCTCTCATGGTTCGTCCATCTTTTATTTTTAAAAAGATTTTATTTATTCATTTTGAGAGAGTGTGTGTGCATGAGCAGGGGGAGGGGCAGAGGGTGAGGGAGAGAGAGAATCCCAAGCAGACGCCAAGCTAAGCTTGGAGCCCAATGTGGGGCTCCATCCCACAACCGTGAGATCATGACCTGAGCTGAAATCAAGAGTCGGATGCTTAACCGACTGAGCCACTCAGGTGCCCCAGGTTGAGTTTTTACTAAGCAAGATTTCTTGAGTACCTACCATGCGCCAGAGACTGTGCTGTGTGCTGGGCTTACAGTGGGGAACAAGACAAGGATGAGACCTGTGCTTGGCACAGAGCAGGACTTAGCAAAGGAAGAAACCGACGTCCCTGCTTTTGCATGGTTCATGGCGCAAGCACAGTGTCTAGCGCAGTCGACAATGAAATCATGATTTAATAGAAATAAGCATTAATGATAAGCACGAAAGAGAATAAGCACCTCAGGGTACTGAGAGAGAGGCCGTGGGAGCCTTCCTCATCTGGGGAGTCCGGAGGGCCTCTCAGAGCCGATGACACTTGAACTGAGAACTTTTCCCAGACAAGGAAAAGGGAAGAGGGCCCCAGGGAGAGGGACAGATAGTGCAAGGAGTCTGAAGCAAGATGAAGCTTGGTGCATTTGAGGAGAAGCCGAGAGGCTGCCATGGACATTGACGGGGGGATCTGGAAAGGCCTCATGTGTCATGGCTAGACTTACAGGTTTGTGACCACATTTGACAGAGGATCTAACCCAGTCATCGGGAGAGAGGGTCAGGGAAAACTTTGTCGAGAAGGTGACATTTAAGCTCAAGTGATGAGTAAGAGTTAGTTGAGCAAAAGATAGGGGGAGAGAGGAATCCCAGGCAGAGGGAACAGCATGTGCAAAGGCCCAGGGGTGAAGAGGTACTTAGAGTATTGGAGAAGAGAGAAGGCAGAGTGGCCTGAGCATGCAGAGCAAGGGTGCACTGAGGCAACAGAGGCAGCCAGGGCCAGATAATGTGGGGCCTTGGAGGACAAAATGGGATCTAGGATGAGGCATCGGGCCTAGAGCATCGGTTGCTGTGCCTTCCCAGCTCCACCTGCTGCACGGAGAGGAGCTGGAGGGAGCTGAGTGAGGGCCCCCCTTTCTGCCTGTCTCTGCAGCAATGGCTCCCAGGATACATTTGAAGCGTGTTATAGTGGCACATCCACACCCTCCTTCCATGGCTCCCACTGCAGCGGCAGTGACCACAGCGGCCTGGGCCTCGAGCAGTTGCAAGATTACATGGTCACGGTGAGCTGGGGCAGGCAATGTGAACAGGACAAGCAAAGGCCCGGAGGCTGGAGAAAGCACAGGGAGTATTTCAGGAATCCTGGATAATCCTGGACATAACTGAAGCAGACGTTGAAGATCAGGGCGGGATATGAGGTTAGGAAAGTAAACTGAGGCCAGCTTGTGAAAGCCTTAACTAGTGTCAGCTAGCATTAATTGAGTGTTTGCTCTATATCAGGCACTGTTCTATGCACTTTTTATGCATTTTAATCCTCTTAATGACCAAAGTAGGAGGTGCCACCATTATCCTCAGTATATATAAGAAAAGTAAGGGTCAAGGAGGTTGTCACCTACCCAAGATCACAGCACTGACCAAGGGGCCAGGATGTGAACTCAGGCAGCTTGAGTCTACATCCCATGCTTAGATGCAGCCCAGAGGGTCTTGATGCCCCCCAGTAGGCCATGGGAGTGTTTCAAGGGAGGTCTTGGCCAAATAGACCCTTACAGAGGGCTCTGGGTCTTTTAGGCAAAGGTTGGGTGGGGCTTGCTCCCCGGGACTGATCTTGAATGTTGTCCCTACAGTTGCGGAGTAAACTGGGGCCCCCTGAGATCCAGCAATTTGCGGTGCTGCTGCGGGAGTACCGGCTGGGGCTGCCCATCCAGGACTACTGCGCAGGTCTGCTGAAGCTCTATGGAGACCGGCGCAAGTTCCTCCTCCTTGGTGAGCCACCTGCCACCCCCCCCCACCAAGGTCCGCCAAGGCCCCTACGTGGTCCATGACATTCCCTATCAGGCATCAGGCTAGAAGTGTTCACTCCTATTCTTCAGCCTCCAATAAAGCCAAGATCATGAAATCCATGGTGCATTTGAGGAGAAAGGTGCAGAACAGAGGAGGGACTTACTTGCAGTCACCGGGCCTAAGAAGAGCACTAATACAACCATTCACCTTCATAGCAAAGCTAGGTGAGGGGATGATTCTCCCCATTTACCCCATGGGGCAGCTGAGGCTCACAGAGGCTAAGGAGCTTGTCCAAGGTCACACAGCTGGTAAGGAAAGCTAATAATAGCACCAGGAATGATAGTACTAATAAGCTAATGGGCATTTTGCAGTTACCCTCTGTCAAGCATCATCCCATTGAATGCTTCAGTTTTGGAAAGTAGAACCTTACTGCCCCCATACTGCAGACAAGGAAACTGAGGCTCCCCATATTGCAGATGAGGAAGCTGAGGCTCAGAGAAGCAAAGTAAAGTACTGAAGTCACATAGCTAATGAGTAGAGATGGAAACCAAACAAGCTGACTTGTCCGGGACACTCAGTGTGTGTGCTAAGCCCCTCCTCACATCCCCACCGGGAGAACTGGTGCAATTATCTCCGTTTTACGGGCCAGGAAAGTAAGGCTCAGAGTAGCTATTTAATGAGGAGCACACAACGAATAAATGGGAATGTAACCGTTACAGTAACAACAAGCTAACCTGTAGTGAGCATTTACTCTGGGCCGAGCATTAGGTCATTATTCTCTGGCGCTGAGTCGAGGAACTTGTGCAAGGCCACACAGCCAGCCAGCGGCGGGGTGGGGATTTGAACTCAGATCTCTGCAGAAGGTGTTTCCACTGTGGGAGGGGGAGGGCTAAACCTCGAAGAGTCCCCCTGCCTGTCGGCCCCACAGGGATGCGGCCCTTCATCCCGGACCAGGACATCGGCTACTTCGAGGGCTTCCTGGAGGGGGTGGGCATCCGCGAGGGCGGCATCCTCACCGACAGCTTCGGGCGCATCAAGCGCAGCATGAGCTCCACGTCGGCGTCGGCGGTGCGCAGCTACGACGGCGCGGCCCAGCGGCCCGAGGCGCAGGCCTTCCACCGGCTGCTGGCCGACATCACGCACGACATCGAGGCACTGGCCCCCGACGACGAAAGCACAGACGAGGAGGCCCGGGACTCCCCCAGCGGGGGCGACGCGGCTGAGGACAACTACCTGTAGCCAGAGCCCATGCGGACGGTGGGGACACACCTGCACTCCCGCCTGTGGGATCCCGGGCCCTGGGACCCCCCCTCGCACCGGACGCGGGGCCTCCACTCCCCGGGTGTCCGTCCCTGCCCTCGGGGCTCCAGTCCCTGCAATACCGAGAATGTCCTGCAGGGGGCGGGACCCTAAAGTCCTGGGCAGTCGCCTGGAGCTCAGCAGGCCCTTCTGCCAGACCCGGTTGGGCAGCGCCCTGCTTTGTCCCACTCACCCCAGGCGCGGCCCCGGGACAACTCCTCTTTCCCGCGACTCCCACAGCTTTCTGGAGGCCAAGGGAGGGATGACGGGTGGGCTCCACCTGCTGGCAGACTGAGAAAAGAATTCCCAGAGCCCACAGAGCTGTTCCTCCTGTTTCACACTTTGAGAAACTGAGGTTCAAAGAAGGGGAAGAAACTTGAGGGAATCTCCTATTTCTCCTTAGATATGACCTCAAACTAACCACACTAAATAGCGTCAAGGGTCTTTTTTAGGGCTCTAAATGGCAGGGTCGCCCCTTCCCTGATGGCAGGAATTGGATCATCAGTGTGAAATGGAGGTTTTTCTCTACTGGCACTTAAGTCAGAAATAGGTGATCGGGGTCCCGGTCCTGGCCCTAAGACTCTGAACAAGTTGCTTGTTCAGGTCTTGGATTTGGAGCCAGACAGACGTAGGGCTCCTGTCCGGTTAGTGTTTCTCACCCCTTGGTGATTTTCATTCCCTAATCTGTTGATGAGGTGGGCCCCTCCCACCTCACAGGGTGGTTCTGGGGACTAACAGAAGTCAAGACCTTAGTGCTGGGTCCAGCACATGATAGGCACCCAATAAAAGCTGTTCCCTTCCACATCCCCACCACTTTCAGATTTGGTCTGCCTGTCTTGCCTGGGAGCAGCGGGGTGGGAACTGAGGTGGGGAGGTGGGCTGTACGAAGACCCTTAGGGAAGTTTGTGAAGAGGAAATAGGACTTGCTCCTCACAGCTCTATGACACCTGGCCCTGGGTTCAAGCCCCAAATGAAAAGTCCCCAAGACTTCACAGGCTGCCATCATGGGAGTCCGTGGTCGTTAAAGAAACCTGATGGCAGGGTTGGAGAGGTAGAGAAGTCAGCGTAAGGACAACATTCAACACGGCCTGAGTGAAGGCTTGGAGGCTAAAAGGGATGAGTCCTGAGAGAATGTCAGAGACTCACACAGAATTGCTAAAATTCATTTGCAAACCTTTACAGAGCCTTCCATGTTGAGACCGTGAGGTAGGTACAATTATCACCAATTTTAAAGTAATATTATTAGGGCTTCAGGTCCAGAGTTCCATGATTTATACCCATGAGCCCACATGGCCATCCTGTCGTAATTAGTCCTTCAAGGCCCTCTGATGTTTTCTTTGGTTTATTTCCCCCCTCTAGCCACACATTCCCCACACTCCCCTCCCCACTGTGCACACCCACCCTACGTGTTGATATATGACCCTGTGTCCACCCACCCTACGTGTTGCTATGTGGCCCTGAACATAAAACACACAGTGCTTCGTGTGTGCATTTACCCTACATGAATGGTGTTGTGTAAAGATCTCATTCTGTTTCTTTCTTTTTTCACTCCATCGTATGATTTTTAAGATAATCCATGTTGCTGTGGGAAAATCTAGCTTATCACATCAAATTGCTGCAAAGCATTCCAAGCTGTGCATCTGTGGTTTTATCTATCCACCCCCACCCCAGGGTTGGACACCCAGGTGGCTTCCAACTTTCTCTCACCGCAAACAATACTGTGATGAACATCTTTGAACATGACCCTATGGGCCTATGTGAAAATTTCTTTGGACCCTATACCCAAGTGGAATTAGTAGATCACATATGTGTTTTAAATGTCACTAAATTCTATTAGTGGTATGTGAAAGACGCTTGTCTCCCCACATTTTCATTCGCTTTTACATTATCTGACTGTAATTTTTACCTATAGTTTGGAGGTAAGGTGGCATCTCATTGTTTGAATTTCTCTGATAATATGAGATTCAGAATCTTCTACACTTGTCAGGCATTTGGGCTTCCCCTTCAGTGAACTGCCCATTCATTTCTTGGGCCCATTATCTATTGGGTTTCCTGTCTTTTTCTTGTCAGTTTGCAGAAGTAGCTTGTAAATTTTAGGTATTAATGCTTTGTTGGATGTTGATGTTCCCAATATCATCTCCTAATATGTTGCTCATGTCGGGTTTGTCTGGGGTAGTGGTTCTCAAACTTTACCATGCACCAGAATCTTCTGTAAGGCTTGTTAAAACACAGATCGCTGAGCCCCACCCCAGAGTTTCTGACTCAGTAGAGCAGCGCTGGGGCCCAAGATTCTGCATTTCTAACAAGTACTCAGGTGATGTTGGTGGTCCAGGGAGCACACTTTGCAAACCACTGGCCCATTGTGCCTTCCTTTGAACAAATTTGTTCCATTGAACAAATCCTTAATTTTGATGTTTTCAATTTATTTATCTTCATTTTACAGATGAGGGAACTGGAGCTTGAGATGAAGTGAATGCCCCAAGGTCACACAGTAAGCTGGAATTTGGACCCATATCTGGCCAACTCCAGAGCCCATAGTCCTAACTGCTTGACTATCCTGTCCACCAGCTTTTGGGGTGTAGTGACCACAGGCCGAGGCATTTGTCCTGAGACTCTGGGGGGACTTTAATAAGTTCCTGCATAAGGGAGACACCAAGGGAGAAGCGCAGTGACAGGGCCGCTGAGAGTCACTGGGACAGTTCTTACCCCATAGTTCAAGGGATGGAGCAATTTCCCTCACACCCCGAGGAAGTCCCTACCCATCCCGGAACTACCCTCTTACCAAAGCCATGTAACCCCTTGGTAGCTGAGGTCCAAAGGGGCAGTCCAGGCTCCGAGCATGAGAACTCTGGCCACACTTCCTACTGTAGCATCCAGAGACCCTTCCAGGATCACTTCCCATTATGGTTTCATTCCTGGCACTGCAAGAGGGGGAAAACCCCGGGTGGTGGGACAGCTGCTTCCCAAAGACCTCTAGGGGTGGTGTAAGGATGGGACTTCCCTTCCAGCTAGATCTCCTGGGGACAGTTTTGATCCATGAACAAGTGGTGACGTTAGTGAAATTGTCTCCAGCTGCCCCTTCCAGTGTGACTCCTTTCGTTTTGGGGTCCTGCAACTTCCTACTCCCTCCCAGCTTCCCCCCCAGAGACTCCTAGCAGACCTTCACAGCGGCATGTTGGAGAGGAGTCCTCGGGCCACCGTCCTTTTGTCACCAAATGTTTAGAGCGCATGCACTAAGAGCATGCACTAGAGGCATTGTGCTAGACAAGAGGGAGATATAGAACAATTCCTGTCCCAGGAGGGGCTCACGGCTTGATGGGGGAGACAGGTCCCCAAATGATTACAGCATAAAGTTCTCAATTGTGAAATTGAAGAGTGAGCAACTAGCTCCTCCTAGGGAAAACAGAAAAGGCTTTGCAGGGTGGGGGGCGGGTGACTTACAAGCAAGACTCTGAAGGATGAGCAAGACTTTGGGCAGGTAGAGGAAGGTAGACAGGAGAGCCCTCCAGGTGGGGCCACCATGAGCAAAGGGCAAGGAGCTCAAAGGAGCATGGCACACCCCAAAACTGATAACCAGTTAGCTCTACTGCAGTGGTTAGGTATCACAGCCCTGGGGGTCAGACTGAGTGAGTTTTGAATCCCAATTCTATCATCTGCTAGTTGGGTGACCTTGGATAAGCTCCTAAATGTCTCTGGTCTTGGTTTCCTCATCTATAAAATGAGGATAATAATAGCATCACCCTCATAGAGCTCATAGTTTATTGCAAGACTTCAGCAAGATCCATGTAAGAGGACATACAGTAAGTGCTCAATAAATGTGACCATAACTATTGCTGGGAACATGGGGTGTGGAGGGTGAGGAGCAGGACTTATAGGAGAGAAAAGCAGAGGAATGGGCAGATTAGAAGGCCCTCGAAGTGCAGGTAAAGGGGAGTGACCAAAAGGGCTTGCATTTTACTGAAGGAGAGGAGGGCTGACTGGACGGCCGAGGAGAGCCTGGGCCCTGGGAGCTGGGGCAGGACCTGATGACCGAGGCTGAGACCTGACTCAGATGGAGGAAGGAGGAGAGAGCACATTCAGAGGGGGGCAGGAGTAAGAGGGTCCCCTCCCCGCTCAGAAACGGTGCCTCTCACATCCTTTGATTAGATTCCTTCCTCCCTTCCTCCCTTCCTTCCTTCCTTCCTTCCTTCCTTCCTTCCTTCCTTCCTTCCTTCCTTCCTTCCTTCCTTCCTTCCTTCCACAGCTGTTTAGCACTTAAACCATGGCCTCATGGTGTTTACATTCTAGAAATTACATTTCTATTAAGTAATGTTGCTTGGAATTTCCGGATGCAGTCGCCACCCATTCAGGCTTAAATGATCAGAAATTGGTAGCCCTATTGGTGTGTCTTCCCATTTCTTGTCTATCCTCAGACATTTCAGATGAAGGGCAAATGGTCTTAGAGCCAGGCCAGCCTGTCCGGCCCACTTCCTGCGATGGTGAGTTCACTGTCTTCTGTGATAGCCCTTTCCATTCAGTGCAAGAGTTAACAACTGACTCCTTGCCCACCCCACCTCCCACCCCCACCACCAGAACCCTACAGGGCACAGCTGCTCCCTTAGACCCTGGGCAGCTCTGCCGTGGTGCCCAGAAAATGTCAGCACCTGCAGAAACTTCTCATTTCTGTCTAAAAGCAACTTGTTCCTGGGTGCCTGAGTGGCT